TTTAAGAACTACTGTCAAGTTTTATATCTGCATTCAAAATTTGTCTAATTATCTCCACTAACAATTTGATAACGTGAACTCAAATGTTTTCTTAGTATTATTTATAGAATAACATGTTCCTACTTGTGGTTTACGACTCCATTTTGAGTTTTTACTCTAAGATCCAGATTTTCGCAAAAAAAACAGCAGGTTTATATGAACCACGATTCCAACTTCCGTTTAGAGCTTCTTATTAGTTCACTAGAGTGCGAGCAACTAACACCAAGGCGCCAGTTCAAAGCACTTTTTTCTTGCACTGTGATTGGTATTATTACAGTTTTAATAAAGTCGTCTCAAAATTTTGAAAAAATTCAGGGACGTAGATCTCGACACGCTGATTACAAAAATATAGGGCGTCGATGGTCACGGAGCAACATTTCCGAAAGAATCGATACGAAATGCGAATTTTTGAGAATTTCTAAAAATTTCGATATTTCAACGGACGATTCCGGAAAAACGGTTGCAGTTATCAAAGAATCGAGGCCGGAAGTTCGTTCTGGAGCTCGAAATCTACCAGGAAATGTATATAGTTAAGTTTCGAAAATGTAAAAATTTGGCCTAAATTTGAAGAAGGGGGACCATTGGAAAAATTTTAGTTTTAAGAAAATCGTCTAAAAATTCTGAAAAAATTCAGGGACGTAGATGTCGACACGTTGATTAAGAAATATAGGCTCTCGATGGTCACGGAGCAACATTTTCGAAAGGATCGATACGAAATGCGAATTTTTGAGAATTTCTAAAAATTTCGATATTTCAACGGACGATTCCGGAAAAACGGTTGCAGTTATCAAAGAATCGAGACCGGAAGTGAGTTCTAGAGCTCGAAATCTATCAGAAAATGTATTCAGTTAAGTTTCGAAAATGTCAAAAATTGGCCGAAATTTGATGAAGGGGGGACCATCGGAAAAATTTCAGTTTTAAAACTAGATTTATTAAGTGTACTTCGGGGGCGAGGGAAGTTTTGTCTGATAACACACAACCAATTTTTTTTTTAAATTGAAAATAACGTCTTCACTCAAAGGAAGAATGACTGAATTTTATTTGTATTTAGACTGACTTACTGGATGATTCAATGTTTTGAAATACCCCTTTAAATAATTTAAATTAGCTTAATAATAATCTTCGCTTGCGTTGATAGTTGGTTTTTTTTATTTTTTACATTTTTTTTTTAATGCCGACAATCTTCTTTTCCCAACAAGAAACTAAAAACATATTTAACTACCGTGTTGTTCAACTAAAACGATAACTAAAAAAAAGTAGTCGCGATCTCAGTTATGATGAATTTTTTATTCATTGTCAGACCAAGGGGAGGAGCGTAATTGATAAATACATATTTCCCTACAAAAATTTTGAACATGTTTTAGGTTTCTTGTTATGAAAAAAAGGCTACGTATATTAAGAAGAAAGGGCATAATATAAGACCCACCCACCCGCCCTACCTCAGTTGTAATAATTTTTTAATTCGTTGGCAGACCCAGCAGCGGAGTTTAAATGCAAAATGGATATTTCTTTGGAAATAAAAAAAAAATTACTCTTTCAAGAACATATTTCACATGGTAATTTCTTGTAGAAAAATGAGGTTTTTGCAGCTAAGCTCCGGCCTCGGCTCACGATGAATAAAAAAATCATCACAATTGAGAGGGGGTGGGTGGGCGGGGCTTATATTTTGTACATTTTTTCTTAATACATATACAAAATGTTTCCCTAACATGAAACTGAAAACATGCTGTTTGTGTTCATAAAAAACTATATACCAATATTGAGAAGAAAAAAAAAACAAAGATTAAGCACGACCCACCCGTCCCGATTTCAATTCTGATGAAATTTTCGTTCGTCGTTAAATCGAGGGGCGGAGCGTAATTGCACAATATATATTTTCCTATATAAATTTACCGTTTTGAACAAGTTTTAACTTTCTTGTTGTGAAAGGAAAACTACTTATGTTAAGAAAGAGCAAAATATAATATTTTTTAATAGTTAAACAATGCACACCTTTCAAATTTTCCCTAAGAGTGACTTTTTTATTCATGCAGAAAACCTCTGCTTGGAAACTCGTGGTAGGTGAAATTTGTATCACTAATTAAACCGGATGGTACACAACAATGCATTTGCATGTTTTAATCGTATCATATTGTTTCAAAATTACAAAAATTACATACAAACAACAATTGCATCAAATTGAAATTTGAACTGTCATTCAAAGATAACTAGCGCCGTCATAAGGAAAATGGCGTCGAAAGTAACTACTGGGTTATCTGTCAAAAGTGTCTACTCGGCAGGCTTTATCAACCCAACTATCAACGCAGGCGACGATAATAATATATGCAGATGGATAAGCCGATTTCAATGCAGTTTTTTATGTTTGAAAGCTGGTTTAATCGAGTTGGTTCTTAGCTATGTTGGCTGGTAATCATTCATCATTTCAACCATTTTCAGTTCATATCATAATACAGGTTGGAATCAGTCCGGTTCGGTGCTCCGTTCTTTCATGAAAACCTCCAATGAGCCTTTCGGATAATTTTTTAATTGAAATATATTTTCAGTGTATTTTATCTTGACATTTTCTAAAGAACTGAATGAAATATTTTTCTAGTCTTCATCTTGAATTTTCCTTATAAAATTTTTCACTGCACGAAGCATATTTCCTTTATCTTAAAATTGTCTAATGAAATTTTCAAATAAATATTGATAAACTGAAAGGCAACAAACTATCTGTCCTATATCTTAAAATTTTTGAATGGAAACTTTTGATAATTTTTACTTATCTTGTGTTTTTCCGATCTACTTCAGTTTTGGTTGTGGGATGGCTTCGGAACACTTTTTGCTTACTGAAATATTAAAAGAAGTGTAGTTTTTAAAATAAACTCCGCGTCTACTTTTCTGTGACTGATGGATGTTTCCATCTATCAAATATGAAAAATTGGTCAAGTGAGCACAGGAGATAAACAAATAAATTTTCATTAACGATTTTCCATGATTAGGACAACCATAAAACGTTTGCAAAATTTCAGAGCATTCTGTTTTGCAGTTTCAAAGTTAACTTTCAAAATATTGTCACACAATTTTGATTTTTTTTTACAAAAATCTGGATGGCCGGAGTGAAAACTCAACGCGGTTTCATAGATCGCAAGAGAGCGATTGTTATTTTATAAAATTAAAAAAATATATTATTATAAATTTTGGAAATGACGTCATCCTATTGGTAGTGATTAACAAAATTTTGGTTAGCGTTTCACTATCTACATGATATTCCTAATATACATACAAAATTTGGCAACAATCGGTCCAGTAGTTTCTCCATTACTGTACTTTCTTAGCTTGCGCTTAGGGAGTAAAAATATGACTGGCTTCACCTTCGAATATTTGTGTTTTTGAGGTCACTTACATGAAAAATACTAAGTTAATAATTTTGGGTAAATTTGTCCACTGAGTTTGCAAAAATTAAAGCAACGTTTCCACATTGTTAATTTTTCTTTAAATTTTGAAAGCATTTTAAATTATTCTGGCGTACAAAATACATAATATCACAAGTGTCTCAAATCGCTGATGAAAACATGCAACACAAAAAACATATCCTTGACATGAAAAAAAAAATGGGGTGGTGGATGTTCGTATAATCGTCTAAAGATTAAACAAAACCAAGGTAATTTCATAAACCACAAGTACAGGAATGTATTACTTATTTAAAAAAAAAATAAACATACATGAAAACGGGAGACCACTTTTTTCGTACTCTCGGGATCATGGAACGTCGAGAAAATAAGTAGCAAGTCGCTCGCTGGACTCGAATACAATATTTTCTTCGCTTACGTTCGGGGTACATGAGTATGATTCCATGGATATAGATTTTTTCATATCCATTAATCGTTCCAAATTTCAAACTTCCATCTTTTCAAATTATTAGAGTGGAACAAGTAAATGGGCATGTAGTCATCCATTTTTTTAAACATTACGACATGTCAAGGAGTACACCAAAAAAAATAAAAATATTTGATTTAACGCACTTAAAAACCATTTTATTAAAAAGAAAAAGTTGATGTCATTTCTGAAAAAATCAAAGGCGAAATAATACTAACGGTATATTTATATATTTCACAGATTTCCACGATTACCCCTTAAAACTGAACTGACATTAACATATCTAATTATAATTATGACGTTGGCTTTCATCAGATACCATTTTTGATTTATTCTCCGCCTTTTTTAACCACTATAAATTTTCAAAGATAATGAACAGAACAATGCCTTGTACTTGAACCCGAAGACAAATTCATTTACCCAGCAATGTAGCGGCAATAAAATTTTAGTACAGCGTTGGCCATAATTAACAACTTCCTTTGGGATGTTCCTCTCTTTCGTCCTAAAACGCAATACGCCAAACAGACCACCTGTGTACGTACATTCGGCGAAAATCCACATTTAGCGAAAAACACAAAGCTTCTCTTGAAAGGCGTTTTTTGCGCACTTTCTGAAGGTTAACTTCACCCAAATTAATTTGCTTTTCCACGATTTGGACGAACAGAAAAAAACAAAGCAAAAACGCAGACAGATTGTTGATCTTGGTTCCTAAGATTAAATTGTCATCGCTTTTTTTTGCATAAGTCTAGACTATTATGATTTATTTGTGATGTTGTTCGATTGTGAAGAAAATAAATTAATGACGACACAACTAAAACAAAACGAAAACGGACAAAAGTATGGTAATGAGTGGCGATTTCGACGTACGGAGTCGGGGCGATAAGTATAAACATAATGGCACCCTAATAAATTAGCACGTGGGGAGCGCCAGGGCCGTAATGACAGTTTCACAAGAAACGGTAATTGTAGATTTTAAATGTGATTCATCTCAATTACGTTTCTGTATTCAGGCGACTAGCCAGGCCAAGGATAAGCGTTTCTTAACAGGATCGATATATTATGTGGAATTTTGAGGGACTTTGAAGCACTAATGCACATTTGTCAAGATTATACGTTTATTTCTACGACAATCGTTACATTAACACAAAAAACAACAATTCTATTCAATCAACTAAGTAGGGCTTACAGGATGAAAGTACTCAACAATAGTAACAATGATAACTAAACATCTCACTAATGATGATGAACGATTTTTCGATGGGATGGCTATGTGAAAGCTTCTCGGAAGCTTCAAGTGTGTTAACGTGCGTCTATTTTAAGAAAAAATATTTTCTTTAATATAAAAAATTACGTATTTGTACACATTTATTTTTAAAACAAGTCATAACAAACGTAGAAAATATTTCTGTCTTAAATTCCCGCAAAAATTTTGGCAGACATGCCGAACTAAATTTTTAGCTATAGTAGGGGACTTGTTTATAAATAAATCTGAATGACGATGAAAAACTCGGTTTTTACACATACGAAAGTCAGACTTCTTCGTTGCTTTCAAACACACTCCAGACAAAATGATAAATGGGTGGAAATTTATATGTGAAATTTTATCAGGGCCCGTATTAGTAGTCACATAAATAAGATAAAACTATTACAAATAAAAGCATTTCAGAAACACTGAACGTCAAAAATTTCATTCATATACACAGTGAGCAAAAATGTTGCGAATTCTTTTTGGATCGTCTGAGAGCTAAAATATCCAAGAATTTTTGAAATACCACAGCAATTTAAGCAAGTAGTACAGAATTCACATTTTATGTGATCTGATTACTTGATTAGTATCTGAATACGTTGAGATTAATTTTTTTTTTTCTCTAAAACACGAATAAATATCCTATATTCCAGAGGTTTAGGAAACTTACATTGCTTCCAATTTTGCTAGAAATGAAGGCAACCTTTGTTTTCTAAATAGCCGTATTTGTCGCAATTTAGTTGCCTTGTAAATTGGAAGTTTGAAGCTTCACTCGTGGATGCAAAACAATATATATGATGAAGCTTTCCTTCGTATACATATTGTAATAAAAAAAAAAAATTCAGAAAATTTTTTACACTTAGAAATAGCTTCACAATCAACTTGATTTGCAAAATGTATTATTAAATTTTTGATAATCTTTGATGTCTTGAAACTTCTTCACAGGCTACTTTATTTTGAAATTTTCTAGTTAGCTCTTGGGAAAATTTTTGATTTCAAATATCGAAAAAGAAGTAGCCCTACATAGAAATCATCTATCTGTATTTCTAATGATATCCAAAGTCTGCCGATCAGTGTCGGTTTTTAATTGATTATAATGAAAAAATTGTCATTTTTCGGTTGTGCATTAATATAACTTATTGCAGTTTTTCATGAGCAATTTCCACAATGTGGAGACTGATAAAAACGTCATATGAATGTTTATCTTCGAGAAATACCCTGTTTTGAAAAGATCGGTATATTTTTAACATTTATAACAGTATTTATAGTGGTACTTGTTTTTAGTAATAAAACGAAGGAGTTAACATTATTGACTCACCCTGTATAGTTTCCTCATGAATGCTGTTAATTCGAGCAACTAATTGAGCTTCAACTACTATTACTTTTATTGCCCATTTTATTAACTGGTCCCCTAAAGCCGTCAGCTCTAGGCTTTAAATAAATAATTACCGCGGCACGAGATTTCCAATCGGCTGCAATAAAATGGCCAGTGGCGTCTCTGGGGAGCGGCAAGGGAGACCCTTCCCAACTCAATGCCCACTCGCAAAATGAAACTTTTGTCCCCTTTCAAGGCCCCTTAACAATGATTGTCATTCAAATTCGGCAGTTTCGCTTAATTAATGGTAAATGCAAGATATTCACACGCCCCAGAAAACAAAATGTTATTCGGCCCACGTTGGCTAGTCGGAGCCTGCTTGTGGAGAACCTCAAAGCGACGGAGGTTGCGGCGGTGTCCACCTCAAGCACGCCGGATCGACTTCCTTCACCATCGATCCTCGCTTTTTCACTCTGTCGATGTATTCGTCCAATACGTCTTGCTTTTTTAGAATGATATGTTTCCCTTTCCAATATTTCATCATACCGAGTGCCTGGAGCGTAGAAACGATATCGTACGAGTGTATCGCCATCTCCTGGCTGATATCTTTAACTGATAACTGAGTGCTCGGCCCAGAACACAGGTACTCGAGTAAAACGTCTTTCCAATATGAACGATACGAAATCAATCCCAAATCGCTGAGGGGCTTCTCGGGGGAACCTATCTTGCCTTCCACCTTTGTCAACAAGTAGCCTGGAAGGAAAAGAAACGGATTAGAGGCGGCTTTCGGAGAGAAAAATGCTTCAAATGTGCATATTTTTTGCTACAAAAAAAGGTTACAAATGACTGTTATTATCCTACGATTGTGCGCCTTCAAAGAAAAAGACTTGAACAAAATACGCCATCTGGGTCGAAGTTCCAAAATAATGTTAGAAATTGGAACTGATCTTCAAACCGGATAATTATTCTCATTAGCGATAAATAAGTGGTCTGGAAAATTGGTAAAGTCGTAGAGAGCTTCGCACAATTAATGATACAACTAGGATGTTAAAGGATTGACCTGGCGAAACACCTTTATGAACTCGATTAAGCTAAGATATTTCGCAAGAACGCCCATGAATATAACCGTAGAGCTTAAAATTCTTTGTAGAAAAACTTTTAGTAAGTTCTATCATAGTAAAACTCCTCTCACTACTAAAAGAAAAAGAACAAATTGCAAAACATTTTATTAAAAAACTATTCCAGTTTTTAATTATCTTGAATTTTTTCGAAGAGTAAAAAATTGGTCTAGGTCATTTAGACAGAACTTCTCTACAGGTTAACAAAATGTTGTGATGACGTCAACACGTATATGTATCTAAACAATAAATTGGATTCATATATATTCCTAAAATATCTACTTTACAATTTCACATGGTTCGGTCCAGCAGTTTTAGAGATTATCTGTCTACTAAAATATCGTCGAGAAAACGTGGTGTTATGTAGTTTGTCAATGTTTTAATTTTGAGACTATAATAACACAATATCTCTTAATCAAAACAATACTGCGCCCTAGGATCTGAAATCCCCAGAAGACCTGTACACAATGCCTTCATTATGACCGCGAAGTAAAAGGCGAGCCTTTTGAGAACGTGTTCTAAAATAAAAAGAGTTTTTACTAAATACTTTAATTAACAAAGACCCAGAATAATTTTTTGTAGCTTTCGTGCCGAGATAACAAACCGAATACAAATACGTGGAAATAACCCACTATTTAGTTCTGTACAAAGAAAATTACCCAAGTTGATAGACGTTGAATATTTTGGCGTGAAACATTTGCATTTATTTAAATAAACAAACGTTCATGTATTTTCTTCGTATCTCTGTATGTTTGTTAACAAAACATGGAAAACAAAATAAGAAAGGAGGGAAGCGATGGTCGACCGAGTAGGCTATAAACCGAATTCGGGAACAGACATGCAAGCGGTGACCCGAAAATGGACAGATTCTGGTTTTGGGCATCCAAATGGTGCGATTCAGATCCTCCGGAACCGTTGCTTTTTCCAATTTTGGTTTGTTTTTAATGTTTGCAAGCGCGTCGTGAAGTACATTGTCACACTTAATTAGGTTTAGCAACTTGCGTCAAGATGGGCGCCTTTAAAATTTGAAATTAGATTGTGTGGAGATGAAATCATGATACCGAATTTATTATAACTCCAAGCAAAATTTTTAAAACGCTAATGACAAAAGGCCAATTGCGCAATTTTTACGTTTCAGTCTGTTTAAAAGTTAACTGTAGAAATTTATCCAATCTCGTACCCGAATTTCTAATCACCAGAAACCAGAAATTAGGTACTATGTAAATGAAAGAAATCAGACAGAACCGTCACGCTATAATACTTGAAATTGTGTGTCCTAAATAGCAGTATTGTCGAATTAACTAAAATCCACATTACTTTTTACTTTCCGAGCGTAAGCTAAGGAAGTATTGTAATCGACTCCATCGGCTTCCCGGTTCTGTTGTCTGTCTGTGTCGATATTTGTTAAACAGATAATCTCCGAAACTACCGATCGTCGTCAAAATTTATACGTGTAACATGAATATCATATACACGGTGAAATGGTAACCAAAGTTTATTTAATCATCCCCACCAAAAATGTGATGACGTCACATCAAAATTGTACATGGTAAATGGACTTTAAATTAGATAAGGTAACATAGCCCTACACGTGTAGTTTATGAATCCATGTTTATTTTTACTCGATACATCTAGATTTTTGTAAAAAAAAATTAAAATTGTGTAACTTTTGCAATTTATTTTGAATCTGCAAAATCGAATGCTTTGAAATTTTGCAGACCTTTTAAAGTTTTGTAAGCTGTTGATAAAATTAATGACGTCATCTCAAAACTTTGTCGACTAAATCCTATCTAAAATGTGCAAAATATAATGAATCTATAGTTGTGATTCAAAATTGCATTCACAGTTTTTAGAATTGCTTATATACGGTGACTCCAAAAAAATATAAATAAATGGGTGAATCTCTTTTAGTAATTAAATCAAGAACTCCACATGGAATGTTTTGAAATCATGCAGACGTTTGAAAGTTATATCGTAAGCATGGTAAATTTTTAATCAAAATATATTTGTTTATCTTCCCAAAAAATTTTTACATTTACTTTACATACATACATATCTTAATTTTAACTTATAAGGGTTCCCAAAAAAATAAATAAAATTCGTAAAATCAAATTTTGTAATTTTTCAAGAAAGCTGGATATGATTTATTGTACTTCAGTGGCGAGGGAAGTTCTGTCGAAATAACCTTAGACCATTTTTTTTACTATTTTTAATATTTAAATGCAAAATTTAAAAACGTACTTTTAACGTGTTTTGGAAATAATTAAAATTTTCACAAATATATGTACTAAGTAATATTAGTATAGAAGATGTTTGCGTACAAACGTTAAATCAAAGCTTTGATATTTTTAGTTGTTGCCTAATCTATTAATTATTGTCAACGATAATAAACATCAATGTCGACTTCCTTGAAAATTTTCACAATTCAATCCATTATTTGTCTCAAGTAAAAGTTTTACAAAGTTTGTTCGACGTAAGAGACGAAATAAGTAATTGTATGATGGGGGCTCTGTGCATTCCTATGGTAAATTAACATGGGAAATCGTACAAATTACAGAACATTTTGGAGTATCTTTTTATGCTTATTTTGACTCCTTTTTTGGGCAAGTCAGACAGAAAACTCATCCACAAAATGTTTTGAAAAAGTTCAGAAATTTTTACGATTTCCCATGCTAATTTTCCGTAAGAGTGGGTCAGAACCCCCATCAAATATCTAGTGAAATGGTTTATACCGTTTAAACTAACAAACACTTAGGATAAAATAATCTGGGAAAAACCACAACCTGAAGTACATATATAATTGTGACTTGGGAATGGTAAAATTTTTGACCGCAATTCGCCAAAGAACTACCAAGTACCTAACTGAAAATTCCTGTATTATATAAGCACGCTCACATGGAAAACTTCAGTGAAAATAAAGGCCTCTTGACAGCACAACAGAAATCATAAAGCTGCTTTCGAAATTTAGCAGGACGATTAAAGAAAGCAAATTTCGTTAAGGTTTAATTTGTTACGAAAAACATAAGGCTGTAACACCATGTATTGTGTCAGATTTTTCAGAGTGGTAACTCCAAGTGATACAGAAGATTTTCTAGAAACAAAACTTAGAACGAGAAAATGAAGTTTTTCTTTCATATGCATATTTTCAAAACAAATTAGATAAGCATGTAGGTAATTTTCAAGCTACATCAAGGAGATTTTTTACACTTTAAAGTTACCATTTAAAATTATTTATTGTCTTAATATTACCAAAATTTTGGAATATGGGTTGCACCATTTCTTTCCTAGAGATATTTTTTTTTATATTGTTAAAGACGGGAATAAAGCAGTATTTAAAAGAATAGGTTCTACTACTGTACTTCTGTCGAGTCTTAATTAGTTTTACAGTATAACGAACTATTAAAACTCGATTACTTATCCGACAGGAAAAAAAGTCAGATGATCCGGCTCGAAGGACAAAACAATATAGCTACAAGGCAACTGATTCCAAATCATTTTCGGGCTGATAAGTTTTCTCATCTGCGATCGCCGTATTTCCAAGCATACCGATTCGCTCAATTCTGCCTTCGGACCGAATAAATCATCGCTTCCTTGCATATCCGATTGTTCTGCTGCAAGCCCCTCGAACCGAAAGCGATCAGAATTTTTAATTATAGACGAAGTAAAGTCACGGTGTTAATTAGCGGTAGAAAGTCGGTGTAACAAATTCTAGCTCGCTCCACATCCATAGTACTTGTTAATTTTTCTCCCTGCTGATTCCTATCGCCGATCGCAAACACAATGTGGGTGGGTGTTCCAATATCACCTGCACATTGTACAAATCAACAGAAACATTCCTAACGGAAATAATAGACCATCATTCCGTGTACATTAAATGTAATAACGCTCTTTCTACATTGCGAAACAAGAAGCAAGCATGAGAAAAGTCTAAATCCAGAAGGTCACGTTGCATCCTACCAAAAATGAAGAAACCTTCAAACCGTATAATTTAGCATGATTTGCTGTGAATCGAGGAAAAAGCGACGGTACTATTGCAATGTGCATGTACCGTTAAAGCAAAAGTAAGGACGTTCAGAGGATGAGAATACGGATTAGAGCCTTGAGAGTGATCTCATACATGAAAGGAGTTAATCGTGATCGAGAAAATCCATGCGAATTTCGAAAAAATATAATGGTTCGATGATCTTTATCGGCAACGATGAGGAGTACTGGAATGCATTATCCGCAAATCGCATTTTTCAAGCTCGGCCAATTATGGATAGAAAGAAACCATCATAAACTCGAAATCAGATCTGAGTGGGAAGGTATTCAGCTCGTCATCAAAGCCGACATTTCCGAGAAAATCCGCGCAAAAGAGGCGATTCAAGGTAAGGCTGTTATCAATTAATGATTCCCGGTAAGCTAGGTTTTAATTACGTACCTACTACTTTGAGTAAGTGCATCAGTAATGTTTAATTTTACTAGAACGCTGAGGTGGATGTGGGCTTTTATTATTCACTGTTTGAGCCGCTTCAGTACATGTACCAGTGTGCTAAAAAATACACAGATAAGTAGTACCAGTAGTGGAAACAGCAGGTGAATAATCAAATTATTTAATAATGAAGGTGAGGAAAAAAGCCTTATAAAGAACTTCCT